TTCCCCCTACTTGTGTTCTCTCTCTGTCTCTGTCAAATAAATAAATAAAATCTTAACTAAAAAGAAAAGAAAGTTTACAGCTATTATTTCATAGAATTAGAAGGTACCCCATTTGCTCATGAGAAAATGAAGAGCCATCGAAGTCAGGTCACACTGCTAATTTGTGCTGGGTCTTGGACTGAAAGCCTGGTCTTGCCAAATCTCTTTTCACTGATGGTACTGCCATTGGGGCCACCTTCTTAGGTCCAACGGATATGGTGACCGCCTAGTAGGCGACCCGGGACTTTCGGGATGTCACTGCTCCATCACAAAATCTCCTTTACTGCTTGAGCTGCTACCCCTCTTTGGGTGGAATTCAGGAGGTCCTTTTGGAGATGAACTTGTAACCTTTTGTCCCTGAGAAATGGAAACCTTTGACAATCCCCCCTCCCCCCCCACAAAAAAAAAGGAAAGAAGAGAGAAAAAAAAACTAGTCATCTAGCCTTGTTTTCCTTTTTAACTGTTGTGGGCCTGGTAAGTTCTTCCTGATGTCTAACCTAAAGTGAAAATCTATCATTCTGTGCAGTTTAGTGGTGAAGGAAAAGGAACCCAGCTAGACATTCGGTGTGCCTGAATCCTGAGGGTTTCCGAGCGCTCACCAAGCAGGGGAAACCCCTGAGCCTTCATTCCCTACCCCCTTGTGCTAGCTTCACTGGGCACGGGAGAAGTAATTTAGCTTACAACTTAAGCAAAGCCTGTGGGAGGCTCCTGAGCTCAGCTTGAAGAGAAAGGGGATATTTTTGCCTTCTAGAGGAAGAAAACTCATTTTCCCAATGCACCCCCACCCCCTCCTCCTGTGCAGATGAGCTTAATTTTCTTCCCCTCTTAATGAAGATGGATCAAAGCCAAGCTATATATTCAAGGGGGAGCCAGTCAGGGGAGCTGAGTTGGGGGGGGGAGAGAGGGCAGAAACAGAGTTTCTCTCATGGAGAGGAAGTAATTAATTTTAAGAGAGAGCAAAGATAGGGAAGCTCTTGGTAATAGAGTGTCGAACTCCAAATGCAGGTGGCTAAAAATTAAGTCAGAGCATGGAGAGTTTCTTTTGTTTGCTCATTCACTCACTGCTTGATTCAACAAATATTTATTAGGCACCCACTGTGCACAGGCAGAGACCTCAAGCTGGCATCAGGAGAGGGCCCAGATCTTCATAACCATAGCAGGGCTCTCAAGTAATCGGACTGGGACAGGGAGAGGTAGGATCTGGCAACCGAAGCCTCTTGTCACCATTTGCCGAAGTACCACGAAATGGTTGAATGTATCAACCGTTTGGATTTAGGATTCATTGCTTTGTTGACCCCAGCTACATCCAACCAGCTTGTCCCACCACGGGTTAGGTAATAATGTTGTCCATTTGCTTTTCCATTCACGGATTGCACTGTTCTCTGACTGAGTTCTGACCTCAAGCCAAAAAATTAGATTAGCCCTTCCCTTTTCAGTGTCTGTTGTGATATAACAACGGACTATGATGACAACGGACTGCTTAGTGCTGCAGTAAAGAACCACGTTGATCAGAAAGGATTCTGCCATCCAAAGACAGAAATGGAATGATACAGAAAGCCAGAGGGACTGAAATTTGATATCAAAAACACATCTCGGCAGCAGAAGGTTAACAGTGGGTCTGGAGCCTCCCTTGCTAGAATGCTTTATGAGCAGCCAGGGCACTTAATGAGATTGATTGCAGAGTGAGCTGGCCTGTAGGCAGGGGGATGGAAGACATGACCTTCAGAAGGCCCTTGCAGTCCCAGGACCCTAAGACATGGAGGGCATCAGGAAAAAGGGAGATCTGACCGTCTTCGGCCCCCAGAGAGTTCGGGGAACTTCGCGGTGATGCAAACCTCCTTGCCCCTGAGCAGATCTGACAGTCGCCAGCTGGGATTTATCATATGGCATCTGGGAAGATTTTCAGAAGTAAACACATGGTGACCCCCTCTGAGCCTTGTGTGCCGCCCTCTTCCTTGCTAGCTTCAAGAGGACGCTTTCGTTCAAGTTCACCCGAGCAAAGAAGCCAGGACCTTGCCACCAGCTCTGGCTCCACGACACCCACGCCCATGGGCTCCACATGCCCCTCAGCTGGACCCCGGGCAGAGAGCCCACCGGCTGGGGCTGTGTCTTAAGGGAGCGTGCTGGGGACGCCGCACAGAAGCCCCGTTCACTGAACCCCGGCTACACAGAAGTCTGGGCAGGCTAGGAGGCGTGGGGAAAGTTAATCTCAGCTTCTAGGCAGCGGCACGAGTCTGGAGCCTCATTGAACCCTTGTGCCCACATGATCAGAAGGGTCTCTGAGAAGCACGTGGATTGCAGCCCAGGGCCCTGCGTTCTGGGCTGGGGGTCGGGAGGCAGGGAAGACCGCCGTCCAGCAGGTCGGGCTGGCTGAGTGTCTGCCGTGCAGATGGGGATGCAGCCCCAGACTGCTCCGCCCACCAGGCTACTCTGTGTCCTCAGCTCCGAGAGGTCGGACTACCTGGAAGTTGTACACCTGCTCTGCACACGCCTGCCTCCCCGTGTCAGCATTTTCTCCACAGGGACCTGAACTGGGACAATATCATCCCTGCTCCCTTATTCTGCCTCCGGCACTCAGACGGCAGCCTTGGGGCCGGATGCTAGGAAGCCACGGGCCCCCCTGGGGCACCTGGGCACCCCCTACCACCACCCGGGGAGAGCCCCTCCCCCTCCCCTAGCCCCGGAGCCAGCCGTGCCTGCCGCGCGCCCTGAGCTCCGCACCGGCCCTGGGGACTGGAGGACTTACTTCTCAGAGGGATGGTAAGAGCAGGGAGGCTGGCAGGTCCTCTGAGGCTGCCGAACAGGGAACAGAGCTGCCAAAAGGATGTTGAAGTTTCGGGCTGATCGCCGGGTCAGGTAGGGAGCTCTCCTGTGGACTGTGAGCCGAGTTCAGTGAGCAGGCTGATTGGCAGCTCGTCGGGCGGGGGGGCTTCAGAGCAGGGGCCGTGCCAGCCCTGACCTGGAGAAGGAAGAGGAGTTAGGTCAACGGCTGCTGCATTGCAGTGCTTGTGAAGGGAAAGCTATTTTGAAGTTGGTAGTGCCGGGATGGGGAGAGGACGTCATTTGTAGGGGTTGCTGGGTAGGAGAGTCTGGGGCAGGGAAAAACTCGCTGTACCTTGAGAGACCTGTGCGGGCTGACAGCAGGCTGTGTGTGTGCTTCTGTGTGTGTGTGTGTGTGTCTGTCTGTCTGTACCAGTGCCTGCAGGGAAGGTTCCAGCAGTTAGCACAGGGAACATGTAGAGCAGAAGGGGGGCTGGGGGAGGGGGCGTGGAGGTGGGGAGCAGGCGCTCTGTGCCACTGGAAAAAAGCAGAGATGTTGGCACCTTGAGGACCTTATTTTCACAGACTGCTCACCCCCCTACCCCAGATCGGGGAGAGCCAGGGGTGCGGGTGACTGGAAACAGCTACCCTTCCTTGCAAAGATCCCCTGCAGTTAAGTTGAGGAGAGCATCCCTGTTGGAGGGAGGAGGGAATAAAGTTTGAGAAGTGGGGGAGCAGGTGAGCAATGTGTTGGAGTTACAACCCAGGCCTGGCGGACACCGGCCAAGTTTAGGGTCCCGGCCAGCAAGCCCGAGCTGCCAAACCCAGGGTTCCATAGACTGTGGCCACTGCCCCGCTAGGCTTCTATCTGCCACAGGCCTTTGGATTTGATCTGAACATGGCTGGTTTGGAAGCTGAAAAAACACCCTTTGATATTATCCTTAGCTTCAACAGACAGCCCAGGGGTTGGGATTCCTGGACTTTTGGAAGGGGGCAACAAAAGGTTACTTCGCTCTTGGAGCTGAGGGGACCGAGCTAGGCTCTCTTTCCTCGGGTACCAGCTGATCTGCCCCTTGCCAAGCAACCCTGGCTATTCATTTTAAGGATGCTCAAGTGGCCTGGTGTTAGGACCCCCAAGCTTGATGTGGCCTCAGCACACTCCGTCCAGGCGCCTGCTTCTTGGGGTGGACTGAGCCTATCCTGGGCTCTCACAGTATCTCTCAAGAGGGATGGGTGAAGAGGACCTTAAAACTCATCCAGCCCCCCACTGGCTGGATGCTTGAAGTCTATAACATTCTTGCCAAGTGGTCCCCTGCTTGCAGAATCCACCTCAAGTGGCTGCCATTTGTGGCTTAGACCCATGGCACCAGCCACCCCCCAAGTTCTATCTGCTACCTTCCTCCCCGTCTCCCCACAAAGTCACCAGGAAGCTAGCCTGACATTCAGCCCAGCCAGAGGGCCACGGCAGGACTTCCCAAAGGAGCGTCCACGGCTCTGCTCCCCATCTGCCTCTGCACAGACCCTGCTTCCTGGCAGGCTGTCCTCCCCATGCCCCACCCCACTCCCAGGCCACAGCAGCCCTTAATTAGATCTGACTGTTGAGCCAGCACTAACCTCAACGCCTGACAGCCCCTGACGTCTCAGCCACATCTCAGCCCCTTAGACGCAGAAACCCTGGACTCCCGAGTGTGAGTAGGTCCCAGCCCAAGCTCAGGAATGGAGTTTCTGGATCTCTGGTTTCACTTAAAGAAAGAGATGGTACATAAAACAGGAGAGGAAGGAGTCCAAGGTCACAAGAGGATTTTTTCAGCAGATAATGAGTGAGCAGTTTTTATGTGGAACACTGGCCGGAGCTGTTCCTGGGAGAGAACCTGCCACACATGAAGTCTTGGCCCCCACCCACGTACACGCCCAGGGTCCCCACCGAAGGGCTTAAGTGGGGCTTATTTGCAGCCTCGGGGATCTCCATAAGTAGTTAGCACTGACTAGTAAAAGTGTCTCCCCACCCCCCACCTGCCTGAAGCTGCTTTTTCTACCGCCCAGCCCTCCGTCCTGCCTCCCCAGACCCCACAGAGGACAGAGGGACCATCTCCTATGTGGTCACCCCTCCCCGTCACTGCCCGGGGCCTGCCCACCCTTTCGCTTGTGTCTCTGCCTTCTCCATCCTTATCACAACTTCTGTCTGTTCTTTGCCCCCACAGCCACAATGAACGACAGAACACATTTCTACACCCAGTGACTGGCCAGGTCCCAGAAGAAAACAACAAATTTAACTTGAAAATGTACGTCTGCCCCCCGCTGGCTGCTTGGCCTTTCCACCCCCCTCAACCTCCCACCCCCACACTTTGCAGCTGAGAAGCGTAAGGGAGGGTGTGGAGAGCAGAGGGACCTAGGGTCTCTAACCCCAGTCCTGAGGAATGGAAGCTTCTGAGGGCCGTAGGTCTGGCTTGACGCCCTCACCCACTTCTCCCAGCATCTCCAAGATCTCAGGCTGGTGCCTCCCACAGGTTGCGCTGGAGGAGAGAGACAGGTCTGAGGTGGGCCTATCCCCCAGGGGCCTTTGAGGGAAATGCTGAGGGAAGCTGATAGAATCCTGAGAGCCAAATGCAAATTCCTCTCGCTGTGGATCTTGGCTCAGTGCAAGAAAGAAAGGAAAAAAAAAAATTAAATGACTCCCATAGTCCACCGAGCCATTGTGTCTTTTCAGTTAGAAGGAAAAGGAGTTCCAGAGTCCTAAGGTCTAGGTTTTTAAAATAAATTTACAGGAAAGAAAGAGGAGACTGTTTAAGATTACTGGCATGTGCTCTCAGAAGAGCAGAGGGAGCAGCTGAAGTGATCTCGGTGGGTGGCAGGGTGGGGAATACGGATGGGGCTTTTCCATTCTTCTTGCGTTTTGACTAGTCTCTTTCTTCTCTTTTGGTCAACCTGAAATCAGATCGTCTTTGGACATGTCCAATAAAGCAGGTGGAAAACGCCCGGCTATCACCAACAGTGACGTATCCAACCACAACATGGTGTCCGAGGTCCCCCCAGAGCGGCCCAGCGTCCGGGTAAGTCTAGCCCCCAAGGCCAGCTGTCAGGCAGGAATCCTAGGAAACACATGAGCCTGTCCAGTTGTCTTCACAGGCTCCACAGAGCAGGTGAGGTGAGGCAAGAGGAGTGGAGAGTGGGAAGGGAAGAAGGGTCAGACCAGAACCTTGTAGAAGACTGATCTCTAGACCAGGGCTTCTCAACCTCGGCACTATTAGCATTTGGGGCCAGGTAGTTCTTTGTGATGTGGGACTGTCCTTTCACTGTAGGATGTTGAGCAGTATCCTCTGCCTTTACCCATTAGATGCCAGTTAGCACCCGCCCTGTGACAACCAGTGTCTCTAAACATTGTTCAATGTCCCCTGTGGGGCAAAACTGCCCCCTCCCCGCCCATGGAGAACCACTGATCTAGGGGGACAGCAAAAGAGGAATAATTCATAAGGGATATGGCAATCAAGAGCTCAGAAAGGAAGGAGTGCCTCAGGAGGAAGAAGTAATCCAGAGAAGAATGTGGCATAGAGGTCAAGTAAGATAAGGGCTGAATGTGTCCCTGGGTTTAGCACTGGAGACCCTGACCAGTGGTGGGATGAGGGCAGAAGGCAAGCCGGAGAGGGCTAAAGAGGAGATGGGAGGGGAGACGGAGAGACGATGACGAGTAGGGACTAGTCTTCTAAGAAGCTAGACAGTAAGCGGTGGTATAGTCATACAATGGAGCGCTCTCCAAAAATTAAACTGGACTAGAGCTATATGTATTAACAAGGATAAATCTTGAATATGTAATGTTGAGTAAGAAGCAAGCTGCAGAATATGAAAGATGTGATATCATTTATGTGAAATAGCTTACATGAAAGTGATACGATGTATGCACAGGTAAATTTGTGGTACGACCATGTAACCATGGACAGGCAGACTAGTTCTGGGTCAGCGGTTGCCTCTAGGAAGGAAGAAATGAGATTGAAGAGTGGCTCAAGGGGAGTTTCAGCTCTATTTGTCATGTTTTATCAGGGGAAAACACCCAGCACATGGTGGTGATTTATTCTCTACTTTTCTGAAATATTTGTAATATTGAAAAATATATATTTGTAAAGAAACTTGATCGTGAGGGGGAATGTGGGACAGGGGACCGAAGCTAGACGATATGCAAGATGGCCGGAGGTCTTCGTGGTCCATTTCATTTTGCTTTAAGATGTGCGAGCGGGAGGGAGATGGCCCAGTAGATAGGTTCAGGAGGAAGGGGACAGCTGTGAGTCTCATTTCCATGGAGACAGGAGAAGTCAGATGCAGAGGTGCTGTTAGCCTGCATAGAGAAGGGGTACGCCCCCTGAGCTGCAGAAAAAACGGTATGTGAAGCTTGGAGGTGCAGGTCTAGGAAGTTAAAGACATTCCCATCTGATGTCCTCAACTTCTTCAGGGAAGTAGGAGGTAGGGTTTTCTGCAAAGAGGAGTGGGGTGGCTAGAGAGGCATTGGGGCTTGAGAATATGCCCAGGGTTTGGAGAACAGGACCAGAGATCAACAAGGGGAATGTGAAATATTGCGTGATAACGTCGAAGGGTCATCTGAGGTCATAGACTTGACTCTGAGTGGCTCCAGTCCACAGATGCGTGTGGTTTTCCTCCAGCGCCGCTCCCAGACTAGCTGGTAAAGCAGGGAAGGTAGATGGTTGGATTAGCCTAAGGTGGGGCTAATGGCAGGGGGAAGCCGTGGCAGAAAGCTAAGGGGGTGAGGGCATGGAGGGGTGAGCTGTGGGAGCAGCTTCTAGCCTGCAGAGCGGAGGTGAAGCTGTGGCAGATGACCGACTGAGGAGGAAGGGAAGGATTTGGGGAGTTGCTTATTCTTCGGATGGTGGGTGACTTCCACAGGTGCCTCTTCTCAGCCTTTATATGTGGATTTTTACTAGTAAAGTTTAGAAAATAATTGTATTCCCCGGTTTGGGGTGTGCTTTACAATAAAGCCCAATTTCTTCTTTCCTTCTTTCTGCAAGTATGTACTAAGTGCTTATTGTAGACAGATACCTTGCTGGGCTCTGGTGATGAACAGACCAACAAGACTCAACTTCCTCCCTACAAAGAGCTCAGAGTCTGGAGAAGGAGTTGGAAGGCCAACTGCCCCATTGCAGTGTGACAAACTGTAGACCACACAAATGGACAGAGAAGAGGGACAGCTCACGGCACCAGGGGGTCCGGGAGATTTTGTGGAATTGGGGGGCCTGCCCTGGGCATAAAGGATGAGTTGGGACTTGTCATGGGACAAGGGAGATGGGGCTCCCCACATCTCCTATGGGAGAGCAAGGTGAGCAAAGGCAGGGGCATGGCAGAGAACCACCAGGAGTTTGGCGAGGGACCTGTCTGGTAGAGGGGCAGAAGGCAGGAGCGTGGGCCCGGCAAACCTTACAGACTTGTCCTTGTGTGCCGTGCTAAGGAACTGAATTCCCTTCTAAGTGATGAGAGGTAGTAAGAAATGTTAAGAGAGCATCGTGATGGCACTGTGTTTTAGAAAGGTAACCTTACTTCGTGGTAGAGGGTGCACAGCAAGAAGAGATGATGGCCTGAGAGGAAAGAACAGATCCGAGACCCATTAGGAACATGGACCCATCTGCCCTGCGCAAATGTTGTATCAGGAGCAGAGGAAGGAGGGAACTGTGTGAGGCAGTTCAGAGTTCAGGTCTGGGCAACCGGGTGGATTGGAGTACCATGCGCCAGGTGAGAAATACAGAGCATCAGGCTTGGTTAGAAAGAGGATGAGTCTGGCTTTGCACTTATTTAGTCCTGGTTGGACAACCAGTTATAAAATGGGCTGAGGCTAGGAGACAGCTCTTAGATATGGATTAGAGAATTTTCAGCATACTGCTGGTAGCTGAGGCAATGGCTATAGATGAGCTACACAGACAATGAAGAACCAGAAAAACAAGAATTTGAAGTCTGGTTGAGGTCCACCAAGAGAGTAAAGGTGGAGCTTGAGAAGGAGCGGCCACAGATGGAGGAAAGAAGAGTTTCTAAAAGAAGAGTTTCAGGAAGGACAGAAAGGTCAGTGTTATCCAGTGTATTAAAATGGCCAAGGACTGAGCAGCTTTAATTCAATGACATTGCAATTGCCACCTCAGGAAAGAGGTGGAGGGGGGTTAGGAGTAAATGTGAGGAGCAACCTCAGGACTCTTCCCAGGAGCCTATTCCTGTGGAGGAAGGGAGGGAGAAGGGGGAAGGTGTTACCTGAGGGCTGGCAGGGGATGGCAGGGGATGTAGGGTGGGGGGAGCAGTTCCGGTGGGTGTGGCTGCGTGAGAGCGAGGGAGAGCTGGTGAGGGGGAGAGACCGACAGACAGACAGAGACAGACTGATGCTTTAAGATGGAGAGAACTGAGCATGTTTGCTCAGGAGAAGCAGCTAGTGGAGAAGGAAAGGTTGAAGACAGATTTGAGAAGAGATTATCCATGGAGCAAAAGTCTCAGGAAATGGTAGGTGGAACGTGTTAGCCTTGAAAAGGAGGATGACATTGGAGAGAAAGAGGCGACAGTGGTAAGGACAGTAATTTTCTAGGTAAAAGGGTGTGAAATTGAGGAAGTGCATGTCTGATAACCTGGATCATCTCTGTGGAGTGGAGCTGGGTCCACTGCGGGGAGGGTGTGGGGGAGCTTGCAGGGCTTGGGGGAGGGGGAGGGCAGGGAGTGGCATGAGGGGGCTGGGCCAGGCTGAGGTTGGGGACTGGGGGGGACAGGGGCTCTGCGGTGGCCTCATCCATACTGCAGTGTGCTCTTCGTCCGGCAGATCTCTAATCATAAACCATAATCTGGCCATGAGTGCAGATAATTTGATTGCTCTGGGATTCTGAGTTTTAGAGAGGCTCCAGCTCTGACAACGGATGGGGTGTTTGAGAGTGCAGCTGACCTACCCCAGCGTGGAGCCTGGGCTTCGTAGGGAAATAACCACAACCAGGACGTGGCTGACGGGTCCAGAAAAAAAGGGAAGGACTAAGGAGCTGGGGATTCCAGTGGAGTAGAAAAGCTGGGGGTGTTGAGTAATGGAGTGAGAAAGCCCAAAGGAGGGGACGGCGTCAGGAAATGGGAACACCAGAATTGAAGATGTTAGTGGTGGAGGGGCGTGGGGCCGGCCAGGTCGCAGGTGCAGCTGTGGGAGTGAGCGCCAGGGTAGCAGTGAATGATTTTGGGATTGAGGCTATCACGGTACTATAAGGTTAGGGCACTGGATCGGTCCTCATCAAGTACAGTGCCACAGGGATGGCCAGACTTAGAATAAAGAGGATGATTGATACCGGAATTCTAAGACTCTGAAGGAATGATCTAGAAGCTGACAGTGATGAGAAGGGCTGAACAGTGGAAGACCAGGGGTGCTTCCAGAGAGATTATTGCCAGAATGTGGGAGGATGGCAGTGTCCAAGTGGCAATAAGGAGCCAGGAGAACCCTTGCATGTCCTCCCTGCTCTGTGCTATGTTGGACATTCGAGAGTGAGCAGGACGCCAAGAGGATGATGATGTAGGGAATTTACTGGCATTTGAGTGGGTTCCAGAAAGCATTATGAAAGAGGAGGGGAGTCAGGACAGTCGAAGAAAGATAGCCCAGGAGTGAAATGAGAATTCTTATTTTCTCCTTAAAACAACAACAACAAAATCCACACCGCTGTGAGACAGGTCAGACTATTATTTTGAGCCCCATTTTAGAGATAAGAAAAAGAGTCCAAGAATTGGAAAGCTGCGCCCTTGAGTTAGGAGCAGATCCAGGAGTCACACCTGGTCCTCTTAGGGTGAGGACACCCCAAGCACGGAGAGAGCTACAGCTCCCAGCAAGGGTCGCTCCCACTGCAGAAAGAGCGGAGGGGAGGAGAGGAAGAAAGTCAGGAGGGTTTCTGTGTCTGCCTCCCCAGGCAACCCGAACATCCCGCAAGGCCATCGCCTTTGGGAAGCGCTCACACTCCATGAAGCGTAATCTCAATGCACCTGTCACCAAGGCGGGCTGGCTCTTCAAACAGGTGAGGCCTCCCCTGCAGTCTGCCCACCAGGACCTCCACTTTCTCCTCATTGCTCTGCTTCCTCTGTAGTTACAGTAATAGTCCCTGCATGTTTTGGTATGTCCTCCCGTGACCTATTTTTGGTATGTTGTATCTCTGTGAATGAATCTCCTAATTTTATGAAGACTCAGAGAAGTTGAATATCTTCCCAGAGTCACACAGAAAAAATAGTGTCACATTTGGGAACCCAGTCAGGTCTCCTAATGGGCAGATGGAATGACAGAAAGATGCTGGGTCGCTAACCCCATCAGAGCGACCCACTGGCTCGTTCTCAGGAGGTCCCTCTTGCTGTGAAGGAAGGGGGGTGTCCTTAGTCCCGGGGTCCACTAAGTCTTCCCAGTTTGACCTCACCACCCTCCCTGCCCACCCTCTGCCCACTCATCCTGGCTCACCTCTCACCCCTTTTATCTTCCCTGGGAGAGACACTGAGGCCTGGGATGACAGAACTGGAAGGTGACAGACAATAATCTAATGTCACTTTCCTGCCTCTGAGGTCCCCAGGGGGTTGGCTGCGACTTACTGGCTGCAGAGGCAGGATGGCCTTGTAATTAGTGCCACGCTCCTTCCCCTGCATCCTCCCTCTCATGCCCAGCTCACAGTCCCTCCCCTCTGTGCCCACGTGTCCCGCAGGCCAGCTCCGGGGTTAAGCAATGGAACAAGCGCTGGTTTGTCCTGGTGGATCGCTGTCTCTTCTACTACAAAGGTGAGCTTGCCTATTCTCCTGGGGCTGGCCGAGGCCGCAGGAAGGCAGGGCCCACCACTCTTTCTCATTCTGCCATACCACCGGGCTCTGCTTCGCGTGGACGTTGGTTGGTGGACATTGGTGGGGGTGGGGGTGGGGGTGCAAATCTGCCCCATAGCCTCGGGCACCCGTGGGGTGTGACAGTGGGATAAAGACAGAGCCCGCTTGCTCACGTGGTCACTCACTTCACATTCAACAGTGTTTACGGTGCGCCCTCCAGGTTTCAGGCAGAGTTCTGGGTGCTGCTGGGGGACACGGTGGGCAAAGAGTGAAGTCCTGGAGTGGGGGATGGGCTAGGAGGAGGAGGAAGAGGAGGAAGAGGAGGAAGGCCCCTAGTCACTACTAGCAGCTGCCCTTCCAGTCGGAGCTTGTGTGTTGATCTGCCTCCCCCTGGAGTGTCCGAGCCGAATCTACAGAGGCAGAAATCTCGGTTTCGTTCACGGCGGTAGTCACAGCGCCTAAAACAGCGCGTGGCACACGGTAGATGCTCAATCAGTGTCGAGTAAGTGAATATCCCCAGCTTCCACCATCTGTGTGCACCCCAACACTCACTCCCAAGCCGCTCAACCAAAAAAGAGAGAGAGAGAGAGACCTAATAACTTTGGTGAGGCAGCCTCTGGGAAGTTATTTTTATTTTTATTTATTTATTTATTTTAAAGATTTTATTTATTTATTTGAGAGAGAGAGAGAATGAGAGATAGAGGGGAGAGGGTCAGAGGGAGAAGCAGACCCCCCGCCGAGCAGGGAGCCCGATGCAGGACTCGATCCCGGGACTCCAGGATCGTGACCTGAGCCGAAGGCAGTCGCTTAACCAACTGAGCCACCCAGGC